ACAACTAGAGCTTTCTTTTGGTGGTATTTAATCACCACTGGGGTTTTTATTTTTTGCTAAATTAACAAAAAAAGACCAAAAATTTTGAAAAAAAACCCACGTTTTTCTATGTTTCTGTTATAAAAGTTTGCAAATAAATAATTGTTCTTCATAAATTTAGGCCGAGATGTATTCTGCTACATGTGTTTGGTGAAAATAACCCAAATTAGGATGTATTTTTTAGTTTGTAGGAAAGTTATAGAGTTCACAAACTATGGTATACATCTGAATATTGATCAATCCTGAAGTACTGACAGCCAATCTAATTTCTTGAGGTCCAAGAATGTCAGAACAGTACAGATATCCCCAAATGACCCCTTTTTGCAAAGTAGACAGTCCGACGTACTTCATAAGAGGCATGGCGAATTTTTTGAAGTTGTATGTTTTTTTGTCATAATTTGTTCGGAAACTGAAAAAATTAAAAAAATTATTTTCAATATTTTTTTTTTACATACTGTCACCAGTGCAGTACAGCGTCATCATATAACTAACTGGCATTGCGGTGATCAGGGACACTAACTGGTGACCATATGAAAAAAAAAAATATATATATATATATATTTTTTTTTTTTTTAATTATTTTTAATTTTTATTACATTTTTTTTCTTCTTTTTAAGACTTTTACCATAGTAACATTGTACTACTTTGGGAAAGTGATCAGTATTTTTTTTTTTTTTTTTTACACAATTTGCTTATAGAAAAGAATTACTTTGCTATAAGCAAGCATTTACCTGAATGACATCAATTCATTCAGGCTTTTTTTTTTTTGTGCTTAGCTGTGATTTGGCCACAGCTAATCATATGACATGTGCATGTGATCACTGTGACCATTCACAGCTAGACACTAGTATACAATGGATGGCATGAATGAAGCCATCCATTGTATACAACTGTCATATGACCTGCTGTGATTGGTCACAGCAGGTCACATGGTACCGGCAACGGGGGGCCAGTACTCAGATCTGTCATTGGCTGTGTTCGAGGTACATGGCCGGTGACAGATCGTGCCGCTGCACGGCTCTGCAAACGCGAAAATTGCGCATGCCCGGGAGTACGCCATATGGTGTCTACCCAGAAATCGACAGCATTTTGCCGGCCGCCAAACGGCTATTGGCTAAACATGTCCAGTAAAAAAAATTTAAAAAGTCAAATGTCTTCATAAATTTAGGCCAAAATGTTTTCTGCTACATGTCTTTGCTAAAAAAAAAAATCCCAATACGTGTAAATTAATTGGTTTACGTGAAAGTTATAGCATTTACAAATGGCGGTATATATACTGGAAAATACATTTTTTCTACTATTAATGGTGGCGATCAGCGACTTATAGCAGGACTGCAGCAGGCATTCTGACACTGGGGGGAACTGACTTGGTGTCACTGACATCCCCAGTGACACCAATACAGTGATCAGTTCTATAAAAAAGCACTGACACTGTACTAATGGCAATGGACAGGAAGGGGTTAACATGAGGGGCGATCAAAGGGTTAATTGTGTGCAGGGAGTGTTTTACTGGGGGGGTGGGGGATGTGGGCATCACTGTAATCACACTGATCTGGATGGCTGTGCTGTGCACAGCCATCAGAGCAGTGTGCCGGAGCTGACAGGGAGGAGGACTGTTAGTAAACAAAGCAGTCCTCCTCCCTGTCGGAGATGCTCAGTAATCACTGGCCAGGACATGGTGATTGACAGCCACGAATGGCGGCACGGGTAGGGTGTGTGCGTGACTTGCGCGCTCCTTACCCAGAAACACCCCTGCCGCCCTGTAGCAGTATATCTGCTATAAGGCAGTCAGGAAGCTGTTAAAAATGAACCTGGGTCAGATTTAAAAAGCACACATTAATGCAGCTCTATAAAAAAAAAATGAACATCATTGAATGTATTTGACTTGATAACAGCCTCTTGCAGACTGTAGAGCAGAGCCCAGAGAGCAGGAGGGAGAGTCACAGCACAAGCAGGCAAAGTGTGCTGTAGCGCAAGGAGCATGCTGATAAGAGGAGAGAGCAGAGTGACAGAGAGATGAGATTATCGGTATGCTAGATCTTCTTTCACTGTTAAGTCACAGAATATGGACGAGCCCCGTAAGTAAAAGGGAAACCACACTAGAGAAAAATTAGGACCTTAAGCATTGTGTGGCAAACTGTGCAAATCAAAGGACTGGATAGACAAAAATTCAAATCATTTGGCAGGTAAAACAGATTTCATCTGTTTTTTCAGATATTTGTTTGGAGTTTAGGTTTAAGGCAAGGGAAGTGAAGATTAACGTTAACTAGGAGACTAGTTGTCTCATGGAATAGGCTAGTCTGTGCTGCTTTCATTCCCAACACCAATGGGCACAGCCCTATCAGGACAGAGGTAGTGAGATCAGTAGGGTTATTCCAGGTTATTTTGTCTAAATGACTATTAATATCTGCAGCATTTTAGTTCACTGTAGCTATATTAATATATTCTTGCAAGACTTGTTTAAAAAAACAACAAAAAAAAAGCTGTTTAAAGATACCTTGACCAACTTAATCAAATAAACAAATAATTATATACTGAATAAGTTCATCTCCTGATCAAAATCAAAATTTTGTTTTTTTATGTGCTCTTGTAATATCACTTACATACAATTGTTTTTGCTTTGTTTTTCTCTCTTTAGAAAAAAAAAAAAAAAAAGAAATCATGAAAGGTTTGAGGAGAAATTCACATTAGATTTCAGGACATGGCTCTACTGCCATTATCCTGTGTATAGAAGCATGTTTAAGTGTGAGATGTCAGTCTTGGAAGCCCTTTGGGTGTCGCTGAGCATTTTTGGTTTCTGTGCTGGAAGGGTATTATGCAGGAAGGCAAAATAAACAATTACACCAGCTCTCAGAGCACACAAACACACCACGAGAAGCCAATTGCACTGTGGGTAAAATTACTCCAAAATTGTGTGTAATGAGTAGGAAAAGATTAAAGAAAGCTCTGGCTATGCTGAAAATTGACATTAGCAGAGGGAGAAAAAAAAAACCTCTTTACTACTCGGCCTGGGAGGTCTAATTCAGGCAAGGAACAAAAACATATCAAGATTGTGTTCAGAGAGTTTCTCCAATGACTTGTCTCTGGCCAGAAGTCTATTCCACATAATGTAAAATTAAATTATAAAAATCAAGTGAATATTTAGATGAAAGAACCATTTGGAAGCAGTTTATTTAGACGAAGTGCCAATGACCCACAACAGTAAGACATCAAGCGTGAAATTTACTAGAAATTAGCAGTGGGGCCCCAGACTCTGCATGACTTGTCTGAAAGGATGTAAATTCATGTGAAATTAACCCATAGGCAGCTCTTTAGAATTCCATATGAGTACAGTACTGCTGATCATACTGTGTTAGTGTAACTGTATAGAGCAGATAAACCCTCACATAGGGTTTCCAAAAATTCATTAAGATATTGCTTAAAGGAGACCTCCACTCAGCCGCTCAGGACAAAATCATCAATAAGCTGATTTAATATTAGGTTTGATCTACTTAATAGAGCTTTGTCTTAACCACTTCCAGTCCGGACACTTTTACCCCCTTCCTGTCCAGGCCAATTTTCAGCTTTCAGTGCTATCACACTTTGAATGACAATTGCGTGGTCATGCAACACTGTACCCGTATTAATTTTTTAGCATTTTTTTGAGACAGATAAAGCTTTATTTTGGTGGTATTTATTCACCACTGGGATTTTTATTTTTTTTGCTATGTAAATTAAAAAGTCCAAAAATTTTGAAAAGTGTTTTTCTTATACAATTTTGCAAATAAATAGTATTTCATCATAAATCTTGCCCAAAATTTATTCCGTTATATTTCTAGTAAAAATAAAATAACCCAAATCAGTTTATAACCAAAATTACAATTTTTAAACTTTTTTTTACAATTTTTTTTTTTTTACATACTGTCACCCTAGCAGTACAATGTCACCATGGTGACACTGTACTGCTTGTGGGGGGTTATGAAGATTTTTTTTTTTTTTTTTTTTTTTTTTTTACACTGATTGCTTTTACACCCATAAAGGATGTAAAAGCAATCATTTCTCCTTCTCTCTAGCTGCATTCTTGCAGCCATTGAGAACTACTGAGTGAGCTGTGATTGGTCACAGCTTGTCACATGGTACAAGGCTGCTGTGAATAGCCTTTTACCATGTGACCTCTGTGATCATTCACAGATTTCACACGTAGTAAGCAATGATGTCACAAGTGACATCTTGCATACTACTTCTCGTGTGATCACATGATCAGGACCTCGTACAGAGGTCCTGTCTGACGATCGGTGTTCCATTGTGTCCGGAGGACACAGCGGGCACTGGATTGCGGTGCTGCGCGCTCTCCCAGGGAGCGCGCACAAGCAGGGTGCAGGGAGACCGTGTATAAACAGCCACCCGACCCTGCACTGCCACCATCCAGCCATTTATATACAACGGCCGGACGGGAGGTGGTTAAAATGTGAGATTCAGTAGCACCAGGACTGAGAGATTAAAAACCAGTGCCCAGTTCAAGTATTGATTTGCACTTACTGAATCCAGCTGTATCCACTTTTGGATCACAGCTTGTAATAGCTGGTAATGATGAGAATCATCATATCACATGAAGGACTTTGTGAGTAGGTTGGTTGATTGGTTGGTTAGAGGTTGGTTGACAGTTATTGGTTGTTTGACAGTTGGTCAGTACCCTTCTTATTGAACTCAGGGAAGTAGATGTTCTTAGTAATTACTTAGTTTACAGTTTTGCACCCAGGGAAGTAGAATTTTGAATTCAGGTAAGTAGCTGTTCTCAGTAATTACATAGTTTAGGGTTTTGTGTTTATTTTTTATACTTCCAGACCATCATTCTTGTGAGTTTGCAGAAATGGCTATGAAAACATTTTTAAAAATTATCAGCAAAGATACACTTCGAAAGTAATCTATGCCATACGTGTATGAGTAATAATAACACGTGTGTGACTTTCTTTTAACTTCAGACATGTATGATCAAGTACTGAAGTTTGGAGCCTACATTGTGGATGGCTTACGTGAGTACCGTCAGCCTGTGTTGGTATACGTTCCTCCTCAAGCTGAACTGAGAGGTGGATCATGGGTAGTGATAGACCCTACAATCAATCCCAGGCACATGGAGATGTATGCTGACAAAGAGAGCAGGTAACATTTCTATAACATTTTATATCACCTTGAAAATGTTTGGTCACATTGATATTAAAATTTAGGATAAAACTCACCAGTCTATTTATAAAATAATTAGTTTTCATTTTTGACTCACTTTTCCCTTTTTTGCCTTTACATTTTTCTCCATTTTACAAAAGTTTGAAATTAAAATTTGTGATGTGGAATGGAAGTGGAAAGCAGGAAAAATATAGACAGATTGTAAAAAAAAAAAAAATCAATATTTGAAAAAAAAAATCAAAAGAAAAATACTCCATTTTAAATGGTCTATCTCTAGCTTCTGACTGTTGAAAATAATTTATTACCCCTGGTTTCAGGTGGCATCAATTATCATGGAAATAGCAGTAGAATGTCTCTTGGAAAAGTTACCTGCTGAATAAATTCACTTCATTTCTCTTTAGTCAAAATGTGACCAAAATGGGTACAGAAATTGCCCAGGTGTATAAATAGACAAGACTGTCAGAAGATATATTTCCTGTAACAGAAAAAAATAGCATTTTAGAGTTTTGTAAATAGGCTGCTATAATACAGAATGAAATGTTTGCCTTAAAGATAGATAGTGATAATTTTACATACTGTATATATTTATACATGCACACCACATAATAATGAGTTTCCATCATTTTTTTTGTTTGTGTTTTATCATAAGGTATAACAATTTTTACTGACAAGAGATTGGGCTTGTGTTACCCTATGGTTACCAGATTTTGAAAATTAAATCTGGGAAAATCGTAATAACCTTGTTCGCACCTATAAAAGCATCCCCCCATCTTTAGCCACACCCACAAAATTTATCTGGCTGAGCAGAGTTTAGGAAAGCCGGTCTGAAAGAAAATTGCTGCAACTGACTCCAGCATCATCATATCGGGGTTGCGCCTGCTCTGAATCAAAAGTGCATAATGCACAGATCGCTGGGGTCAGGAGTGCATAACATGCAGAGCATAGGGGTCAGGATAGCATAATGTACAGAGTGCAGGGGTGATGCTAGTGCCCCCCACCCCCTATGACAAAACCATCTTCAGCACCAATTTTATTAATGTCTTCGGTCCCAATGTTGTGACTGCCTGCATTTTTTTATACCTGTAAATTATTCAGGTGTAAGCTTCTGTCCCAGCCCACCAGCCCACCAGCCCCCACTGCATGTCTGACCTGTAGCACAGAGCTGAAATAAGTGCTCTCCTTTGCTATATGCTATAGGTCTGACAGGCTGCAGGTTGGTGAGTTGGGACAAAAGCCACCATCGGCATTTATGTACAAATAAAAAAGTGCTAGCAGTCAGGACCCAAGCCACTCACCCATGTTGTGCTAGCAACATTCATTGAAGGATAATGAATTCTTTTCTTAGCACCCATTCACACTTTTCCAGATTGGTGTGTTGCAAAAACATTTATTTGAATGGGTTGCCAATGCACCACAACAGACATTAAAATTGATCATTTTTTTTAGGAGTGTAGCACACCATAAACCACGGTGGGGTGTTGTCATATGCTGCAACACATGTACGTTTCTTTTGTGTGTTGAAATGCAACTGAACGTGTATGGCTTGCACGTGTTGTGGCAACATGCATGCCACAACGCTTCAGGATTAAGGGGCCCTAAGCATAGTGAGGTCATTTACTGATGTTTGTCCACGTTGGAAAGACCTCACTTCCTGTGTGGTCACCAAGACAGGAAGTGAAGGGAAATCTCAGCTGGAACAGACGGTAATAAAAACAGGAAGAGTTTATTGCTCTTCTTCACTCTAACCAAAAACACAAAAGTAGCTTTGGCTGGAGTTGGTTTTTGAAGAAATGGTTGAAGAAATGAAAGAACGCTGTCCACATCACATGCAGATACAGATATCACACAGTTTTAAAGAAAAGTTGCTGCTGCAATGAAAACATAATTGTTGAAACATTTTATAAATATTTGTGAACTATTCATTTAACTTTGGATATTTTGCAGAGGTGGTGTCCTGGAACCTGAGGGAACTGTTGAAATAAAGTTTAGAAGAAAGGATTTGGTAAAGACAATGCGGAGAGTTGATCCAGTTTACATTCACCTGGCAGAGAGATTAGGTAGGTGTTTATTACATTTTAGTACATTTCAAAATTAGGACATTAAAACAACTCTTTGCTTTACTAATGTTTACAGAACATGACGCCAAATATAAGCTATTTAGTTTATAGACAACAGATCGGTGAATTCTGCTCTTGTCTATCCCTGTTGACATGGTTACCCCTTCCTAACTGGGCATTGCCATATTGCATCTTGCACAGCACAGGGATGGTGAAGGTAGTCAATCTCCATCCTCACAGCACTTCTTCCCATGTGACTGTTAGGTGTCGCTGCTCTGCAGGGCAGTAGGCAATGGTCATTATCCAGAGGGAAACAGATTGATATGGATATATAGAATTGACTGTTTAATTTTAACAAAAAGTTTGAAATTTGCTTATCCATAATTGCGCTAATTAGTCTGTATAAAGAAGAATAGTGGATTTGAAAGAGCCGGTGGAGTGGAACGTGAAGGTAAAACAAAGACTTACTTTTTTGTGCCCTTCACTGAAAAGTCCCATCTCGCTCTCTGTGCAGTTCTGTATATTTACCTCCAGTAAGCTGATCTCTGGATCTTTATACTGAGGCCTGCTGCTGGATCAGGGATTGCTAGTCTATTCCTAAAGCTGGTATACTGTGTATATCTGACACTCACAATAGTCTTTAATGAAAAGCCCATCTATTTGTAGACTATAGCTAATCAAAAAAAATGGAACATGCTGGCAACAAGAACCAGCTCATCCATGATGTGGTCTTTCCCAGAATCATTCCAGGGTGCACAATCCATGTGATCTTCCACTTGGTGAATAGTCCCAAATTAAATCAGCATAATAACAAAAGATAAATACAGCTGATGCTCAAAGGATAACACGTAGGTCTTTGTCAAGAGGGGGAATCTTTGGATAACAGGGGCACTAGCCAATATGATGCACACCAACATTGGTGTAATATTGGGATCACTCAGTGATAGAGGACAATAAAAACATGGGCTATGCTTTCAGTTAACTGCTGTGAGGGCTGGTCATTTAAATGTGTAGATTAGTGGGCTAAAGCAAGTTAGAAGAGCAAAAAAAGAAAAATGTAAATAAGAGAAGGGTGGGGGAAGAAAGAAAGAAATAAAAAAAATACCCTACACCAAAATGTTCATCACTCTGCCCCAGGAATCGCATTCTTTGATTGGTGTTAAAAAGTATATTTTTGTTAACTGGAAGTCAATTCTTTAGATCTGATTCAACTTTGAAAAGGTTTTAGAACATGTCTGACGTGTGTAAAGATGGGTAATATTCTCAATATAAAATGTTATACTTCTTACAACTTTTGTTTCAGGTAACAGATATTATTATTACTCCGTTTTTCAAGTACCAGTGTTGTTAACAGATGCCTATGTATTTATTTTTCATGCTCCAGATTATGAAAGATGTCTTTTGCTTCCCTAGAACTTTAGGTTTAGTATTTTTTCTCACTGCCTACTTATGTTTTATGCAATTTGTCTCCTTGTCCTATCTATTAATATTTTAAAGTTTGAAGGTTTTAAGATAGGTCAGAGATTTAGGATGAAGTCATCTGTATTTGTATGATAGAAGAAAAGATTTAACGTATGTCAAAGATAGACCTCTTCTATAGGTGATCAGAACTGCTTACCAATTCATCTGTTTTCTTACATTGTTCGGCTACTTATTCAGTACAGTTGAATGAAGGTACAATTGTAGAATACAGGGTAATGCCTTTTTTTCAGATTTTTCTTTCTGGCCAATTTAAAATTTGTCAAAGTTGGACTTCTTCTGGATCGCTGCCCTTTGATATTTTTCACGCACTCCATTTGCCACAAACAAGCCGTGGGGTCGTGGTTCATGCTGACTTCAGCAGAAATGGGGAGAGCTCCATTTATCATAAGCTGCCTGCTGAATTTCTGTCATTAGCCAGGGGTTCACTGCCTCCTTTAACCCCTCAGACTCTATTACCCTAGCAGATTATCTTTATGAAAGTCACTGTGTGAGGCTTTATATCTTTTATATTTATTATTTATCTGCTAGGTATTTTTTGTTGCAGGGTAGGAGTGGGAAAACACAAAATAAAATATTTACAGAAATTTTCTGTATCAATTAGTTTTTATTGCATTTAAAACGCAGAATGCGGATTTGTACAAAAGTAAAAAGTCGTAAAATGCAAATGTGCAATATAAGTGCTGAAATTCTTAGAAATTTGCAGTTTCTAGCATACACACTTGTAGGATACATTATGTTATGGTATATTACAGTACAATATGGCTGATTTACTATTCTGCAGTATAGAATTACTGCTTGACAGAAGTGAATATATTTTATATTTTAGAAATGACATTTATCACGTTTTAGCTACTGTGGTAGACTGAAATAGAAATGACAAAGTTAATGTGTTGCTTTTGTGTTTTGAATGCATTTTCATAGAACAGTAATGCAGCAATTTCAAACTTTTTGGTTGAACATATGAGAATAAGAAAGAATAAAGAAATCCACGATTTGTCTGCCTTACATTTTTTTTAGGGAATATCAGATCAGGACACTTATCTTTCATGAGTATTATTTTATATGCTCATGTTTTATTCTCTGTAACAAAGGCCAATACCTTATAAAAGAAAGCACAGGCCTTTAATGCAGACAGTACAAAAGTGATCCTTTTCACAGTCATAGAATACCTTTACCAAGTGATTGTTTCTGTGTTCTCCTGGCTCCTGGCCCCTGGCCGGCCATGGATTGACAGATATCTCACTAAGAGCAAAAGTCAGGGAAACATACACTATATTGCCAAAAGTATTGGGACACCCCTCCAAATCATTGGATTCAGGTGTTCCAATCACCTCCATGGCCACAGGTGTATAAAATCAAGCATGCAAACTGCTTCTGCAAACATTTGTGGAAGAATGGGTCGCTCTCAGGAGCTCAGTGAATTGAAGCGTGGTACTGTATCAGGTTGCCACCAGTGCAATAAGTCCATTTGTGAAATATACTTGCTACTAAATATTCCACGGTCAACTGTTAGTGGTATTATAACAAAGTGAAAGCAACTGGGAACAAAAGCAACTCAGCCACAAAGTGATAGACCGCGTAAAATGACAGAGCGGGGGCATGCTGAAGGACACAGTGCGCAGAAGTTGCCAACTGTCTGCAGAGTCAATAGCTAAAGACCACCAAACTTCATGTGGCCTTCAGATTAGCACAACAACAGTGCATAGAGAGCTTCATGGAATGGGTTTCCATGGCCAAGAAGTTGCATCAAAGCCTTACATCACCAAGTGCAATGCAAAGCGTTGGATGCAGTGGTGTAAAGCAAGCTATCACTGAACTCTAGAGCAGTGGAGACATGTTCTCTGGAGTGAAGAATCATGCTTCTCTCTCTGGCAGTCTGATGGATGTGTCTGGGTTTGGCGATTGCCAGGAGAACGGTACTTGCCTGACTGCATTGTGCCAAGTGTAAAATTTGGTGGAGGGGGAATTATGGTGTGGGGTTGTGTTTCAGGGGTTGGGCTTGTCCCCTTAGTTCCACTGAAGGGAACGCTTAAGTCGTCAGCATACCAAAACATTTTGGACAATTTCATGCTCCCAAATTTGTGGGAACAGTTTGGGGATGACCCCTTCCTGTTCCAACATGACTGCGCACCAGTGCATAAAGTAAGGTCCATAAAGACATGGATGAGTGAGTTTGGGGTGGAGGAACTTGACTGGCCTGCACAAAGTCCTGACCTTAACCCAAAATACCTTTGGGATGAATTAGAGCAGAGACTGCATGCCAGGCTTTCTCATCTGACATCATTGCCTGACCTCACAAATGTGCTTCAGGAAGAATGGTCAAACTTTCCCATAGACACACTCCTAAACCTTGTGGACAGCCTTCCCAGAAGAGTTAAGGCTGTTATAGTTGCAAAGGGTTGGCCAAGTCAATAGTGAATCCTACGGACAAAGACTGGGATGCCATTAAAGTTCATGTGCGTGTAAAGGCAGGTGTTGCCAATACTTTTGGCAATATAGTGTATATTCTCTTTACATAATTGCTTCTATTCCAGAACCTGCCATGATTCTTTCCACTGCTTACAGTGGTGCACAACTGGTATTTTGATAATTTCTACTGCTGCTTAGCAGACAAAATGATGGAACCAACTCACGGTCAACTAACAGATTGACAAATCTGCCCTCTCTTCACTGTTTCTGTTTCCAGTGTTTGTTGTGGCATATTAACAACAGGCTTGGTTGGTACCTGTTGTTTTGCTTCTTCAACATTAATTGAATGGCTGCAGTAGCCACACTTTTAATTATGGTGGCTCAGTTGTGAGGAACATGTATTCTTTAAAAATAATCAGTTACTATGAGTGATCTTTCCACCTAATATATAATTTTTTGTGTTACTGGCCTAGTGGCTTTGAATATGATTATTATTAACAGACATAAAGTATACATACCTTGGCTTACATCACAGCTGGTACTGTTGTACTGTACAGTGGGGAAAAAAAGTATTTAGTCAGCCACCAATTGTGCAAGTTCTCCCACTTAAAAAGATGAGAGAGGCCTGTAATTGGCATCATAGGTAGACCTCAACTATGAGAGACAAAATGAGAAAAAAAATCCAGACAATCACATTGGCTGATTTGGAAAGAATTTATTTGCAAATTATGGTGGAAAATAAGTATTTATTTGGTCAATATCAAAAGTTCATCTCAATACTTTGTTATATATCCTTTGTTGGCAATGACAGAGGTCAAACGTTTCCTGTAAGTCTTCACAAGGTTGGCACACACTGTTGCTGGTATGTTAGCCCATTCCTCCATGCAGATCTCCTCTAGAGCAGTGATGTTTTGGGGCTGTCACTGGGCAACACGGACTTTCAACTCCCTCCAAAGGTTTTCTATGGGGTTGAGATCTGGAAACTGGCTAGGCCACTCCAGGACCTTGAAATGCTTCTTACGAAGCCACTCCTTCGTTGTCTGGGTGGTATGTTGGGGATCATTGTCATGTTGGAAGACCCAGCCACGTTTCATCTTCAATGCCCTTGCTGATGGAAGAAGGTTTGCACTCAAAATCTCACGATACATGGCCCCATTCATTCTGTCCTGTGCATGGATCAGTTGTCCTGGTCCCTTTGCGGAGAAACAGCCCCAAAGCATGATGTTGCCACTCCCATGCTTCACAGTAGGTATGGTGTTCTTTGGATGCAACTCAGCATTCTCTCTCCTCCAAACACAACGAGTTGTGTTTCTACCAAACAGTTCTATTTTGGTTTCATCTGACCATATGACATTCTCCCAGCCCTCTTCTGGATCATCCAAATGCTCTCTAGCAAACTTCAGACGGGCCCTGACATGTACTGGCTTAAGCAGGGGGACATGTCCGGCACTGCAGGATCTGAGTCCCTGGCGGCGTAGTGTGTTAATGATGGTAGCCTTTGTTACGTTGGTCCCAGCTCTCTGCAGGTCATTCACTAGGTCCCCCCGTGTGGTCCTGGAATTTTTGATCACCGCTCTTGTGATCATTTTGACCCCACGGGTGAGATCTTGTGTAGAGCCCCAGATCGAGGGAGATTATCAGTGGTCTTGTATGTCTTCCATTTTCTAATTATTGCTCCCACAGTTGATTTTTTCACACCAAGCTGCTTGCCTATTGCAGATTCAGTCTTCCCAGCCTGGTGCAGGTCTACAATTTTGTTTCTGGTGTCCTTCAACAGCTCTTTGGTCTTCACCATAGTGGAGTTTGGAGTGTGACTGTTTGAGGTTGTGGACAGGTGTCTTTTATACTGATAACAAGTTCAAACAGGTGCCATTGATACAGGTAATGAGTGCAGGACAGAGGAGCCTCTTAAAGAAGAAGGTACAGGTCTGTGAGAGCCAGAAATCTTGCTTGTTTGTAAGTGACCAAATACTTATTTTCCACCATAATTTGCAAATAAATTCTTTCCAAATCAGCCAATGTGATTGTCTGGATTTTTTTTTCTCATTTTGTCTCTCATAGTTGAGGTCTACCTATGATGCCAATTACAGGCCTCTCTCATCATTGTAAGTGGGAGAACTTGCACAATTGGTGGTTGACTAAATACTTTTTTTTCCCCACTGTACATGTGCTCTACCATGGTCTAGCGGTAACGGACTAGTATGTTTTTCAGGATATAACATGTCTACCATCACTTCCCCAGTGATTCTTTTTCATTTTTTTTACATCGATTCTGCTAATTGTTTGCTGCGTGCTTTGCTGTGACAGCTTAGCATATTCTTTCACGTGTTAAAATATTGCATTTTAGGAACTCCAGAACTGAGTCCTGCTGATTGCAAAGAGTTGGAAAACAAACTGAAAGAGAGAGAAGAATTTCTGATCCCTATATACCATCAAGTTGCAGTGCAGTTTGCAGATCTGCACGATACACCTGGCAGAATGCAAGAAAAGGGGGTTATCACTGTAAGCATCAAGTGTAATTATTTTGGATACTATAGCCACCATTCATCTTCATTGATTAATTATTTGATAATGTTTTATAATTTTCTAAATGCAGGATGTTCTGGAGTGGAAGACGTCTAGGACATTTTTCTACTGGAGGCTTAGAAGGCTCCTTTTGGAAGATGTAGCGAAAAAGAAAATCCATGCTGCGAATCCAGAACTAACTGATGGGCAAATTCAGGCTATGCTGAGACGATGGTTCGTAGAAGTGGAGGGAACTGTCAAGGTAATGCCAACATACTGAACTTACATTTCTTTCTAAATTGGGAATTTACTAGCTGATCTTGTGTTAGCAGGAATGTTTTGAGGGATATTCATACGTTATTTATGAAGAGCTCATAAATTCCACAGTATTTCAATACTTTGCCCTCAAATGAAAAACTCTGGTAACCCTACTATAGTTCTACACAGCCACATTGGATGCAAATCAAAAAGTACTAGAGACTCAAGATGGGAGACAAAAAATAGTTTTAACTTGGAGCAGGCCGGGAGAGCGCAGCCCTGACTGCTTCGCACACTCCCGGCACCCTTAGGGGAAAATATTGCAACTCCTGACCCCGTTCCTCCCTGCCACCCACCGGCTTACCTTGCGGAGGAGGTGGGGGACCTCCAATGCCCACCTGACCAGCGATAAAACCCGCACGGCCGCGATGCAGAAGGGAGGAGGTGGTAAGATGGCGGCCAGCTCTGGATCCCAGAGCTCTTCTACAGCACAGAGGATGCAGCCTCCTCCACAGTGGGCCCAGCTCCTCTCCTGCAGTCCTGGGACACGAGAGTGATGGCTCTCCTTACTCCCTGGGTCACGTGAGTGTTCATTCTGCCCCCTCTAGCCCTGCCAGGTCCACTCATCACCAGGCCATGATTCCCAGGCTTCTTCTCTGCTTGACAAGGAAATGGCTGACATCTTCACTAGCCAAATTAGCGGCTATTATTCTGCCCCCGACGGTCCTGTGGGTTCTCCTGCTTATCCATCTGTGGCCCTGCACTATTCCGGGGACTCTGTTCTTAATACTCGCTTTGCTGATTTACTTCAGAGAGAATTGGAAAAAGCTATCACTAAACTGGCCTCTGATTTAAAGCAGGATTTCAGGGAGATCGGAAATCGCCTGGAGAACATTGAATCTAAAGTTGATGATACAGTGCACAGAGTGTCTCAGAATTCTAAAAGGGTTGCTGACCTACAGGGCCACCTGGATGAAGCTTATATGAAAATAGACGACCTTGAGAAGCGCGCCCACCGGTACAATTTCCGGATTAGAGGCCTACCAGCAATGGTCAGAAATATTGCCTCAGTTGTTCTTGGAATTGGTATATTGCTTTAGTTATATTGCTTTTTATCTGTTTACTGGCTAGATTGGATATATGTCAGGTATTCTATTTCTCATGTTAGGAACCTTTATCATGTCTTTTACAGACCCCATGGCGCCAGGAAGAGTCCATGTGCTCTCCCTTATTTGCTCTCCCTGATTGAAAAACTCTCTCCACTGCTTTGCTTTGGCGGAGGCTCTTCCATTCCTTGACCTTGTGTCTGGGTTATTTAGTGTTCTACTTTTTTATGCTGCATATTGTTGTTTTGTCACTTGAACTGACGCTAGCCATTTCCTGGGTTCCGTGTCTTTTGTCTCTTCCCTTTTTTTCCTCACTTGTTTTTATTGCTTTTATTTTAGGGTCATCTCTAGAATTTTTATTCGGTCCTGGATTCTCGTTCTCCCATACGGGTGGATGTGTGGGTCTCCCCATCGCTGTTTTGAATTTTTCCATGTCCACCTTAAGACCTAATAGTAGCGTTGTTCGCTTACTTTCCCATAATGTGCAAGGTTTGGGATCCCCCTCTAAGCGTCTCAAGGTTTTTTCTGATTATATTTTTTCTGATTCCCTGGGAGCTGATATAGTTGCGCTGTAGGAAACCCATTTTGTCTCCTCTTTCACACCTAGGTATATTCATAGAGATTTCCCTGTGTGCTTTTTTGCTAATGCGTCTGAGAAAAAACAAGGGGTAGCGCTCTCTCTGGCCCAGTGGTTATCCTTTACTGAATCTAAAGTGATACGAGACAAGGACAGGCGATATCTATTGGTTAAAAGCCACTTTGGGGAAACTTAGGGACTTTTCTGATTTACTATGCCCCTGATGTGAATAAGTTAGCCTTTTTTCAATCCCTGTTTCAATCTTTAGCTCTCGACCTGGAAGGCAATGCCATTTTAGCGGAAATTTCTCCCAATGGAGCTTATGCCTAAATTGCTTTTGGCTAAAATTGTATCAACACCCTGGTCAGATCATGACCCCACCGGGGCATGCTAACACTCTCCAATGTAACTGCCAACTGCCAAGTCATCTGGCAATGAGTCCCTTCTTAGCAATGAGTCAACTCGCCTTGAAGTAGTGGAGCATTTGAACTATTACTTTACCATTAATAAAGCGGAAGACGCGACCCCTGCTATTAACTGGGCAGTTCGTAAAGCTTCTTTCAGAGATTTTTTTATCCAACTATCCTCTAGACTTAAGCAATCTCAAGAAGGGTTGATCTCTGCCAAAACCAAGCAATACGAGGCTTTACTGGCCCAACATAAAATTACTCTAACCCCGGACTTGTTTACTTAGAGTAGAACAGGCTCGTTTAGAGCTTAATCTTTGTCTCACCACAAAAGTGGAAAAACAGCTACGATGGATGAATCATAAATTCTTCACATGGCGAGACAAACCGGGTTCTCTCTTAGCCCTTAAACACCTCTAAGCATACTTACTTGACGCTTAGGCTTTCGGGAGGTCACATCTCACAGGATCCTCAGAAGATCTTTCAAGAATTTAATAATCTATTCTTATACAGCCTGTTGAGCCTTCCATGCTTAAAGATTTTTTGGGACCCTTGCAGCTTCATCACTTGCCGATTCCCACAGGGAACTTATGGAATGACCTATAACTAGTGAGGAACTTGGTAAAGTTATTAAAATGCTAACGTCACATAAGTCCCCATGCCCCAACGGTTTACCAGATGTCTACTATAACACCTTCTCTGACCAACTTCTCTCCCATATGGCTCTTAACTTCAATTCCTTGAGAGAAGATGGTGTGATTCCTTTAGATGAAAATAAAGCATATATTAGCGTTATTCCTAAACCTAATAACGACGCAACTTATATCCTTAACCACTTGGCAACCGTGCTATAGCCGAATGATGGCTACAGCAACGGTTGTCCAGTCCTGGGAGGGCATCATATGAAGTCCTCCCAAAAAAGCGCCCTCCCGGGAGCACCAACCCGGCGATCTCCATGATCAGCTGTGTCCGTAGGATGCGGTAAAATGGCCAATCACAGCGACCTTTTACCATGTGATCAGCCGTGTCCAATGCTGCCTATCTGTGCCGCCTTTCAATGCCCATCAGTGACAGCGCTGAAAATTGGCCTGGGCAGGAAGGGGGTATAAGTGCCTGGTAGGCAAGTGGTTAATTATCGGCCTATTTCGCTAATAAATTGTGACCTGAAAATATTGACAAAACTTTTGGCCCTGCGTCTTAATTCCTTTTTGGCGCAGTATGTTCACAAAGACCAATTGGGTTTCATATCTGGTCGCCAAACGTTAGATCAGATTCGAAGGTCCATAGCTTTGATTTCTGCTGTTCGCTCTAATTGGGTTGCCCCTCTTTCTGGGGAGTTGCTGCTTCTTTCTTTGGACCTCCATAAAGCTTTTGATAGCTTAACCTAGGAATATTTGTTTACTGTTTTGCAAGCTTTTGGATTTGGTCCTGCATTTCTCACGCTATTGCAGTCATTATACAACACCCCTTCAGCTCAAGTGTCCATTAGAGGTTACAGATCCCCCGTGTTCCAAATTTGACGCGGCACTAGACGGGATTGCCCACTCTCCCCACTACTTTTTGAATTGGCAATAGAACCCTTAGCTATGGCGATCTGCTCTCATGCCGGAATCCACAGAGGGTCCACTGTGGTCATCAGGAACATAATTGCGCTTTATTTGCTGATGATGTTATCATGTATATTGCATCCCCTCTGGCCACTTTACCTAATCTATTATCTCTTTTGAGTCACTTCTCTGAACTTTCTGCGCTGACTCTAAACTCTCTTAAAATGACAGCCCTTAATGTTTTGTTACCCTCTTCAATGGAGCAACAGCTTCCAGCTATATACGACTTTCAATGGGCCCACAACTCTTTACCATATTTTGGGGTTAATTTGACAGCCTCAATTGAGACCCTAAACCAAGTGATCCATCCCTCTCTTTTCAAACAACTTAAGGAAGATCTTCGTCGTTGGGCTGCTTACTCTATATTTTGGTTTGGCAGGATCAACTTTATTAAAATGACGTTTTTACCTTGATTGTTATACTTCTTTAGGACCTTACCGATACCAATTCCGAGATGCGAGCTACAGTTAGAAGTGCTTTGTTTTGTTTGGAACGATAGAAGGCCTCCTATGAACCAGAACACATTATACACTTTAAAGTCGCAGGGTGGGATTGGCCTTCCTAATCTCCATGACTATTTCCAAGCTGCTCAAATTGCACAATTGGCCTATACTACCGCTAAGGGATCTTCTCCCCTCTGGGTTTCTATTGAAGCTCTTTCCTGCCATCCTTTAGTGGTCGGCTCCTTACTTTGGCTTTCTAATAGATTTTGCCCCCCTATCTTATGTCCTACTCTGTCTTTCTCGTTGACAGTCTGGGATAGAGTACGCCATCGGAAATCATTAGCCTCCCCGCACACTCCCTTACTCCCAGTTTTTTGTAACCCTGAATTTGTAACTGGTCTTGTCCCGGCCCCATTCCAATGGTGGATCAACAAAGGATTGCTGCCGATAGGAGACTACCTCCGGGGTGCCCTAGTTTATCCTCCTTAGTACTTTACAGAGAAACTTCAGATGCCCCCCACTGAAATTTTTAGATATAATCATATTGCCACTTTTATCTGCTTGAAAATTGTTTTATTGGATGGACCACCCATTCTTACCAATTTTGAAATGTCCTGTCCGCATACGAATCTCTCTAGAGGCCATATTTCTGTGGTGTACGCCCTTCTTGCTGATCCAAACTGTAATCTCCCCTATATGGATCAATGGGAATGGGACCTGAATGTTAGTTATGATCTATCTGATTGGCAAGACATAGCCCTGGTATTATCTAAATACTGCCTTAATTGAAGCAAACTATAAAACACTATTGCGATGGTGCCTGGTCCCAACTCGGACGGCGAGGATGTATCCTTCTACCTCACCAAT